ATGAGTAACTTTCTTTGGACAGATTGAACTGAATAAACTTAATTTTTGAATTTTTAAAATATATAAAAATATTTTTAAGACCCTAACGAACATGCCAATAATTATTTATAATAGTGTTACATTGTATAAATGTGATGTTACCCAAACTTAAAATTTTCGATTTTAACTAAATTTAGACCGGCATTATAAATTTGCGAAACTTTTGGCCAGCGTTACAAAAATTCCGGCCAGCATTATGTTTTAAAGATCGTCAATTTTAACTAATTGAACTAATTCTAGCCAATAAAATTTTACATACGTAATATACACCTAAAGACAATATTACGCTAAAAATTTTTATTATGATATAATAGTACAAAAAAACTCCTTATCGATTGTGTGACATTTCCACTGACTGATATCAATTACTAATTCGTAATATTATATTATTAATATGAATTCACCAGTCCTGCCAAACCAATAAAAAAAAATAATAAATTTATTAAAACAAATAAACATATATATAATTATCTTATGCATATAATAAAATTCACCTTATTATACATCATCTTCTTCATCATCTTCAGTTTCATTTCCACTTTCTTCTTCCTTATAGCTATTATCTTCAAAATCGGAATAATTTATGCCCGTTTGACTGTTGATTTTTTTCTTTAAAGATAATATGATTAGCTATGAAATTTTATTTTATTAAATACTACTATAAAATTACAAACTTACTAAAAATTTTTTAACTTTTTGTTTCATGATATTCTTTTTCAACATTATTTCGTCATGATTTGGGTTCAAAATTGTTGACCAGATCGCAAGAACATATGCAAGTTCTGCATTAGAATGGCCATTTTGGAGGACTTTGCCAATAACGCTTGCTAAAACAATCGAAGAATTTTTGTCCTTGAGATTCATTTTTTTGAACAAGCCTTCAAAACAATCTTTAACTTTGGGTTTTCTCTTCCATTTTGCTACTTCAGACGGCCCGGCATTTGTGTTTATAGGTGGTAAACGGGATCCGAATATAGAAAAAATAGCCTCCCTTGATTTCGAGGACAATGTTCCTCTTACGGACCGTACTTGTTTTGTTAACTACGAAAAAAGTTAATACTTAATATTTTATTTTATTTTATTAAACATTTTGTTATTGAATAAGGACTTACTTGTTTATATATATTCTCGTTGTAAAACGCGATCCAATCGTCTTCAGTAAAATTAGAGAAAAAACTCGCATGGTTCAGTGATAAATATCCTTCAACCGCTCCACAACATTCATCTTTTGTTGGGTAAATCGATACTTTTATTAATAATTTCGAAACATTTTTCACAAC